ATTAAAAACTGTTTTTTTCTCAGTGGATGCTAAAGTACAGGCTAGTTTTTACTTCACCATTTCTTTCCGAGAATTCGCAACATGTAACAAAAAATTTTACGCCATTAAATAGCCCGTAAATCAAAGTATATCTGACGGACACTATTTGAATTTTGAAAAAGCGCACTTTCGATTTTTTACCAAATGTCCGCATGGTTGCCCCCTGCGGAAAGGCCATTTTTTGCAATCCTTTGTCACACTAATACTTAGCTCGTTAATCAATTTAACACTACTTTGATTTTTCTTTCAGACAAATTTTTTTAGGAACGGTACAATGGCTATGCCATTCACTCATATATAGCCGTACTCATTTTCTTTTCTTTGTTCTTCCAACACGTGTGTAAAGAGATACTTACTTTTGTTTATTTAGTTCTGTTGCACAGCGGACAATCACATCGGCATTAGGTGAAAAAATGAACGTACCTTTTTTCAATATTCAAATATCTTCTCAATTTTATTGTAAATAGTAGACATAACGATTTAATTTGACTATCTCCTTTTGTTTTGTTCTCGATCATTAGAATCTGCTTCACAAAAACCAACGCACAAATACGTTAACTGTGTTCAAACCGCAGATGAGATAATTTAACTGTAGAAGCTTTTAATCGTACTAGTAAGATATTCTCATTTTCCCCCTTTATAGAATTTAAGCTTTCAATTTGAATTCTATGATACATTCTCTTTGTGTGTCCCGATGATTGAGTTTTTAAAGGCTAAATTGTGGTTCTGTTTAAAGATCAAAATATACATATCACTTGCAGTAAAACCTCAAAGGACGGGGACGATTATTTGATGAAATCGGAAAACTATCGAAAAACTAGGTCGAATTTACTGTAACCAAAGTTCTACTCTTCTTTGTTCAACGATGACGATCCTGTGCTCCACACTTGTCCACTAACCACGACGATACTCTCTGGAAAGCCGTGAAAAGTGGGTGGCTTATTCCACGATGAGGATCCTGTGATCAACGTTTCTCAACTAGCAACTACGATAGATATACCATTCAATAGAGAATTTCACGAGCTTCAAAATGAGCGATAAATAAGTCTTTCAGAAATATGCCCACATGGGTCAACAGTTGAAATACTTGTCCGATATAATGATTTTGACCTATCTTAGTGCTTTCAACACTCCGTTAGTCGTTTTTCTGCCATAATGAAAATTATGTATTGTTCCAAAACATACCACTGGATAGCCCTTGAAATTCTCTACAAAGTGAGCTGGTCACAATATCCAGACAGGTGGGGACTGTCATTAAAGATATTGAAAAGAAACTTTCGGGTGTTATCTAAGCAGTACCGTGTGTCGTAATCACAAGAACTCCCTTGTTTTTGACCTTTGATACGGACCAGCTGTAACGCGAAAGTTAACATCTGGAAAGGTCTACAGATAGATAAATTTATCGAGATTTGCTTGACGTAATTTCAATCAGCTATAGCAAAATCTTTGCCTGAATCTTCTTCGTCTGCTACATCGCTATATGCTTTAATCATTATCAAAAGTTTCGGAGTTTTCACACTAATAGAGATAGACCTGTGTGACCCTCACAATGCACGATAATCTCTTCCCCTATGACGACTTTTGAAATTTCATTATTAATGATGAAACAATTAATTAAGGCCTCCATCAGAAATAATAATTTTCTGTGAAAAAATCGGTTTTGAGATAAGCACATGGAAATATAGCCTGAAGTGTCTACTTTCAGAATCTGTATCACTTTTGGTTACAAAAGTGGTTTTTCACGAATTTTGAGAAAGTTTTCTAGGAGCCTCGAAAAACCGGGTCTTCAAATAATAGCTTTTTCCTGGTTACTTATGCAACTAAAATTTTTCTGAAAACACAGATTTGTAGAGCAAACTTTCTGATCAAAATAAGACCTCGCACAACTCTGTATGATCTTGCATCAAAAAGTTACAGGTATTTTCCTAGAAGTTCCAAAATTGAATATTTCATACAACGTTTAGAAACGCTGTATTACAATACAGCGTTTTCTCTATATAAGAGTTACACGTGAAGTATTTCCCAAAATTTTTTATAGCCGTTTGTCATAGAGAGTTTATTCCTTTTTAAAGGGGAAAAGAAATTACATAGGCTGACAGGCGCCGATTTTTGAATTAGGTCTTAGTTTTCTGTCAAACTGAAGATTTTTAGAAAACTCGGAAGGGTTTTGAGGGTCGTTGATTGCCTGGAAAACCAACAAAGCTTAATTAAAAAATCGGCCCCTGTCAGTCCATGTAGTTAGGTATCTAGTTTAAAATAAAACAAACCCGAACTCTCCAGCTTGAAGTATATTAAAAAAATCTTGAAAAATACTTTAGGGTTCTTTATGGACCTTGATCTCTAGAAAATTTCTAAACGGTAAGACCTGGAGACAAAAAACTTTTTTTATTCCCAGAACTCATTAAACCTAATATTTATGGAAAGTTTCGTCAAGATCGAATGTACGGGGTCCTTAAGTAAAATATGAATATACTAAATAATGATGAGAACATACAAAGCAGTGTCTGTTGATTGTCACTATCTTTCTTTTCTCCATATCCAACAATAATATAAATATTTGGGTAAAATAATAAAGCTTCGAAAAAAGTGATATGTGAGCTCGGTGTGTTTAGTTAGCTTTAAAATGAGAGAAATGAGCTCGGTTGTAATAAAATTATATTTTATTTATATAAATGAGAGTTTTGAGCTCGGAAATTAATTTATACTCTAACAAGATACAAATGAGCTCGGTTAATTTTAATTTTGAGGGTAAGAAGAGAGAAATGAGCTCGGTAAATAATTTATGAAAATTAATTAATGATTTTGTCAGTAGTAAAGTATTTCTAATAAGAAAAAAATAATTCAAAACAAAATAAATGTTAGATTACAATGGTTTTTCGACTAATACTCAGTTTTTTGTTAAAGCTAATTTAACTTTCTTTGGACGATCTTTTTCCCGTCTTGTACCAAGTGGTTGTGGAACTTTACGATGACATCACATCGTACTTCGAAGACCAGTGGGTTTTTTTTCTCATTGAACTCCATTAATAAAAGAATATTCTTGCGTTCATTTTTTGGGCTTAATAATGAGGGAAGGTCAGCGTAAAGTTCCACAGCCACTTGGTACAAGACGGGAAAAAGATTGTCCAAAGAAAATTAAATTAGCTTTAACAAAAAACTGAATATTAGTCGAAAACTATTGTAATCTAACGCTTATTTTGTTTCTGAGTTATTTTTCTCTTATTAGAAATATTAGGTTGGCAAGAAAGTTTTTGCGTTTTTTTCTAAATTTCCTAGAACAGCCGAGAAAGTTCTAGAATTTTCCATACTAAGGGTATATAAAGGGGGTAGGAATATCTTTCGAACAACAACAAAACTATGGATATGGACGTTGATCTCGAATTAGATATAAACATATCTCGTAGAGAACTCCGAGTACTTCTGCTACATGAATTCCGTTTGGGTCACAAAGCAACGAAATAGAGCGCAAGTCGAAAAAACGGTTTGTTAACTTTCTCAAAACGATAAAACATCAACTTGAAGATGATCATTGGAATTACTTGCATGATTTGATGCTTGATAAAATGTATGGTGGTCTTCACGTTCTTAAACATGTAGCATTAGTATTAAAAGATGAATCAAAAGAGCACACTAATATTGAACTTAATTTTTCACAAGTGTATTTATTTCAAAATATCTTCAACAACAAAAAACATCATTATTAGACACATTAAATAAGTGCAAAATACAGGATTTTCCATTCTATTATTTAGATCAAGTACGTCATATATTAGAAAGTCAAACTGAACATTTATTCATAAATTATATCAGAATTGCTACGTGTATTTATTAACGAAGTCTTATTCCTTTCGAAAGAAATGAAAATTCCGACATGTACAGACTTATTAATATCAGAGTTCCACTTATTAATATCTCCATCCTGAAAGTTGAGTGCCTTGAGGTAATTATGGTCGGCTCCTCAAAATTTCGTCGTATTTCTGCTATAGTTCGTTCAATTTTTATCCAGGAAACACGATATTTTCTAGGTAAATAGGTGACTTCTGGCTATCGATTCCTGTAAAAATTTTCTTCAAAACATTAGTGTTAATTAGTACTAATCAATTTCCAGAGAGCGGTACTGCTGCAGAATAACCACCTCCCTTACGTAGTGTGTATATATAACAGAACAGGAAAAAAAACTATTGGTTGATTTTATGATTGCTTAAAAATATAACTTATTCTTAATAACAATAAGAGATGACTATAGCTGTCAGAATAGAGTGATAGATACCGGTAACTGCCTGAAAGATATATACAAAACAATGTAGATCAAGTATGAAGAAGAAAAAGTAAATACATACAAGAGAATGAACGAGATAGAAAAATAAATACTGGGAAACAATAAAGCAAAAATTGAAAAAAAATGAAGGACAACAGAATAAGAATAATAAGAAAAAACAAAAAACTAAAAGTATTAAAGTTCGAAAGGATATAATTCATTAATTTGTTTTATCAAGTTCTCAAACGGTCGATCGCCAAATCTTCGCCGCCACATAAATTCTGTCACATATGTTTGAAGAAGAGTTGTAGACATACCCATCATGCTCTTCTTTTTTTGTTTTGCACACATCCAGAGGTTCTCGCTATTTTGGGTGTCGACGTGGGCGGTTGGGTCGACGAAATGCAAGGAGTGGTTGACGGTTTGGTGCTCATAATTGTTGACATTTCTATTTAATGTGTTGTATGCCTTCCATTCATCGCTGTGTATTACTGTACGTGAAAAGTATTGAAAATGTTATCATGGGTAGAGAACACATATAAGATAATATACCTGGTAAAACGTATTGTTGTATGAGCGGCAGAAGAGTTCTGGCATCACGCCGATCGACGGTAACAGCGAAACATTCCCTCGTGTCACGATCAATTCCACCAAACACCCATTGATTGCCTACCACGCGTCCACGATTGTATTTTCTTTTTGTTCATGCACTTTCGTCGATTTCAGCCACATGTCCAACCCCACCAATAATCCCGGGATGCCTTAAAAAATGTTCAGCGCACATATCACGAAGGAAATTTTTCCAGTCAACGATAGTAGACTCACTCGCAAATTTGCAATGTCGACGAAGAAAGTCATGGGTATCGATTCCTTGAGACCAATAAAAATTAAATCCAATACTTGTTGTATTTCTAATTTGGAGTTGGCGAAGAATGTTCCATCACGGATCGAACGCGATAATCTACATTCTTTCACACGACAACGCCAGTGATAACCTGAAAAGTTCGATTAAACGTGTGAAGAACATCTGACAACTTTTAGTACCACTGCTTACCATCGATGATTTTCGAACATTTTCCCATATACCAATTATTGTGACCATTGGAACATGGTGCAGTTGGCCGGTAGGGTATCAATTTAACTGATTGACAAAATGATATTGTATCCTCTAACGTCGAAGTGCACATGTTCCATTCACGTAACGTCATATCGTCAACTGGTGGTAGTGGATAGTGTGCCATTTTGAAACTGAGAGTAAGGTATCGTCTTCTTGCATGATACTATTTATATAAGTGTCATTATGAGATCAAATCATCAATATACCAACATAATTTGATGATGTTTTAGAAAGTAATCATTTTGTTCCTTCCTCAATTAACTGATCCTTTAATAAGCCATTGACCAATCCTTTTACTAATCCAATAATTAGTAATATCTGTCTATTTTCTTGTTTTTTCTTATTATTCTTATTCTGTTGTCCTTCATTTTTTTTCAATTTTTGCTTTATTGTTTCCCAGTATTTATTTTTCTATCTCGTTCATTCTCTTGTATGTATTTACTTTTTCTTCTTCATACTTGATCTACATTGTTTTGTATATATCTTTCAGGCAGTTACCGGTATCTATCACTCTATTCTGACAGCTATAGTCATCTCTTATTGTTATTAAGAATAAGTTATATTTTTAAGCAATCATAAAATCAACCAATAGTTTTTTTTCCTGTTCTGTTATATATACACACTACGTAAGGAAGGTGGTTATTCTGTAGAAGTACCCAGAGAGCACCTTTCGATTGACCATAATTACTCCAAATGGGGGTAATTATGTCAGTCAACATGTACCGTTGGGATAATTATGGTCAGTACAGCAAAAATGGCTGTGATAACCTTAAGTCAACTTAGTTTCAACGGGAGATGACTGTACAAAATATAGAACGTAGTGGATTACAAGGTAACGCTCGTCTCCACTCGCTCGGTCCCTTGACTTTAATAACCTGGATCTGCGCTACTGAACGGCGTTTCGGCACTTTTGAACTGAAGACAATGCTCGCGCCTCCCTTCGGTCGGCGCTCGCCTGGGGCCTAACTAAGCCATCTTCTTGATGTTTTTCTGTTTTCATGTGTAAGGTTCGTAATCTAATATAAATATACAAGGCAAAAAGTTCCAGAGGGCTAAAAATATTTCTGAACTCAAAGCAATGCTCACGCCTTCCTTCGGTCGGCGTTCGCAGCCAGTATAGCTGCGAAACGCTGTGAACTTCTCTGCTTCCATGGAAAAAACATCTTTTTATGTCTGTTGTTGGTTTTTACTTATAAAAAATTGACTTTGAATGTAAATAAAGCTAAAAGGTTTTCTGAACACCCTTTACGGATCTTAAGGAGATTGGAACTATTTTCAATCGATTCGCTATGATAGATTCTCTATACACTGTAAGTTACAGTATCCGTAACCGACTTTCTTTGTATTATCACAGTTGACTGCTGTCGGGCGACATCTATCCCCGACCTACAGAAAACGTTTGCTTAACTTTTTGTCTCTCTGCAGCGGTAGATATTTCAGATCATCTTTTTGAATATTTTCTCCCTTCTGAAAAAAATAATTTTCTACATCTCTCTCTTGTGATTCGCTTATCCATAGAATATCTGACAGCCATGTTTCCGTATTTTGCGCACACACAGACACACAGACAGACAACCAGTTTGTAAGACCCTAGACTAAAGTCAAGGGAAAATGGTTGTGGAAAAATATTGTTTTTCTGAGAAAGAATGTAAAATTTTCCATCTTTGTTAGATGTCTAACTTACTACCTGACTCTCTATATTCATACTGATTTTCCTTTTCAGATAGAGATTATGAGAAGACAAAAGCATTGTCTGCTCGAATTAAAATTTTAAACTTCCAAGACGATATGAACCCTGCACGCACACGACAAGAAACTGGCAGGATCTTGATAAGAGTGACAGACGACATTTTGAAATAATCTTATCGGACTTTTATCAGTTATTTATCTACAGCTTATACAGTGCTTATAAGAGTCTTACGAAAAAAGTAGCCGGCGCGTGTGCCTTTCTTGTATAAGACTGTCGTCAGATTCTGATAAGAGCTTTATCAAAAATTATGAAAATTTTTCGTCTAGGGCATTAACAGTCATTTAGAAGACACTATTTAAAGTGTTCAGATCAGTTTTAGACATAACACAACAGACCCTGAAATGCTTCCCTTTATCAATAATTTAAGATCCATAGCAAAGAGATGTCGAATTTTTATACAATTTAATTTGGATTAAGCAATATTCATACGTACCATAAATAATGAATAAGAAGTCAGAAAAAGTCTAAAGTGAATAAGTTCTATCTTTTAAATGGTGAGGAAATGAAAGAAGATGTCAGTCGTATTTTCTTTCGTTCTGTTCATGTATTTGCCCTGGTCAGTTCGCATGAAGGAACGAGTTTAGAACTTTTCTATGATTTTTTCTAAGGAAACTATATGATAAACTACGCCTATGTCACATAAATATCAATTGAATGAGAATATACGTAAAATGCGGTTGGCCATAATTAGTTATAACGCGCAGACCTTCGTTTTTCTTGTTCTTTTACGAGTGGACGAGAGACAAAAATTCGATTATCTCTCTCATCTTCTTATAACATAAGAGATTATGATTACATAATCGACGTCATTTTTGCCTAAATTTGATTTTTCTCATTTTTTAATGTTGTAATTGAGTCAAAAATCATGTCGATTATGTCTATGCCAGAGAGAACTCAAATATAATCAAAATGCCTCAGCCGTCAGATTTACCTAGACATTTTTTGGGCTTGGCTCTGAATTGCTATCTTATTTGGTTCAGCGCAGCGAGCACGAAATTTTCTAATGTAAATTGTAATTTTATCGTTCTGATAATTCTTTGTTCGTTTATGAATGTCGAAGGCTGGAAATTTCTCATACTTCTGCTACATTAACCACATAAATAAATGAGATACTATTCCCTGAAAAATAGAATACTCAGTACTTATATTGAATTTATATTTCAGGTCATTTACAAATTTTCCATGCCTGAACTGTGTAAACAGACGCCCTTTTATCAATGCTCGTTGTCTACAGTTCGTCTCTAAAGCTAAAGTCTCTACTTTATCGAAATGAAACAAGTGAGAAATGGAAGAGATTCTATCCCTTGTAAAGACTGTAATAAGGAATATTATACAGAAACAACCAAAGCAAAAACGACCCAATTTTTTGGGTTATTTATCTAGATTAATAACCCAAAAAATTGGGTCGTTTTTGCTTAGGAAGTAGAAAAATAACAGACAATGGAACAACTCCAAGGTGATATACGAAAAATCATCAAATATAGCCTGACATGTTATAGAAACTCAACACGCTTAACACGTAAGATGCACATAATTCAAAGTTCAAGTGAAATTTATTTTCAAATATATTATACACCGTTGGATAGAGGACTTACAGCTGATCACGAATATATGTGCCTCAATTTTTTCTGACATTTTTCTAGTTAAAAACTCAAAACACTAAAAGGGTTTC